TGGAATTACAGATGTGAGTCACTGCACCTGGCCCAATTCTTTCTATTGTTATTTTATTCAGATGCTCCATCATTTTGAGTTGATTTCAATTTATATTTTCCAAGACAATATTCAATCTTATTGACATTTTCTAGTTTAATTATATAGAGTTTCACTTAATATTCTTTTGTAATTAAAATATGAATTCCTGGCTGGGCACGGTGGCTCACACCTGTAATCCCAGCACTTTGGGAGGCCAAGTCAGGCGGATCACGAGGTCAAGAGATCGAGACCATCCTGGCCAACATAGTGAAACCCCGTCTCTACTAAAAATACAAAAGTTAGCTGGGTGTGGTGGTGCACGCCTGTAATCCCAGCTACTTGGGAGGCTGAGGCAGGAGAATTGCATGAACCAGGGAGGCAGAGGTTGCAGTGAGCCGAGATTGCACCATTGCACTCCAGCCTGGTGGCAGAGTGAGACACAAACCCCACAAATTCCCGTGTGCCTGTTTTTAGCCACTTCCTCAATCCATTAGGGGAGTTGTATAGTCTTTCCCTTGGCTAACTTTGCCAGCAGTTTGTTTATTTTGTTGTTGTTTTAAACAGCTCTTATAACAGTTCAATCGTTTTTCTGTTTTCTGATTTATTGGTTTCTATCAGTTTCATGCTCCTGTATTTGTTAACTTCATGATGTTCTTCTTTTTCTAGCTTCTTGAATTGACTGCTTAGTTATTAGCTAGTTAATTTAGTTAGCTGGCTAGTTGCTTTTAGACTCGTTTGCCTGGCTAGTCTGTCTGCAGCCTGTCCTGCTGAAGCCATCATGGTCTGCACATGTGCCCGCCCTCCCTCCCTCCCGAGCTGCCTGGTGGCCTCTTCGTCTGCAGTGAGGCCAGGCCGAGAGAGATGAGTGAGGTCCAGATGACGATGCTCACCTGTGTCTGTTTCTCCTTCCTTCTGGGATGCATGGGAGACTATACTTCTGAGTTGCAAAATGTGAACAACTGGTAAGTCTAGGTAAAAGTTACATTTGTCTTGCAACTTTTCTGTAGGTTTGATATAGAAACTCTGGGTAATTCTGCAGCACACTCTGCTTAAGAAATCACTATTGTAGAGATGATGGGGGATGTGGGGTGTAGAGATTTCCTGATGAACACATGTATACCAGAGTTATGAGGGAGTAGAAAGGAATAGTGACAAATCCATTTGGAAAAGGGAGCGAGAGAGACAGAGACAGACAGAGTTGAGCAGACGTGCAGAGAGAAGCATGTGGCCCCAGGGTGAGAGTGAAAATAGCTGCCTCAGCTCCTGTTCACTTTCAAGTTCTCAATTCCAGTTCCATGAGGCCTAGCTATATGGCAGGCTGTACAGTTCCTTCCTTGGATACCCCGGAAATCTATCCATCCTTAAGATATCCTCTCTTCCTTCCATTCTTGGCTGTCTCCTTTTACTTGGACCAGCCAAAGTAGACAATTGTTTCTTAGAGCAGCTCCCAGTAGAACATTTGTTAGTAATGATATTGACAGTTTATCAGGTGGCAGCAACGATTATGCTTTATTGTACCATTTAAGTTAATCCTTACACTATTAGCATTCTCATTTTATAGAGGAGGGAAAAGAGATACAGAGAGGTTTGCTAACTTGCCCAAGGTTGTACAGCTCATAAGTGATGGAGCCAGGATCAAGCCTATATTCATTTTTTAAAAATTATTTATTTATTTATTTGTTTATTTTTTGAGATGGAGTCTCACTGTGTCGCCCAGGCTGGAGTGCAGTGGTGCGATCTTGGCTCACTGCAAGCTCCACCTCCCAGGTTCATGCCATTCTCCTGCCTCAGCCTCCCGAGTAGCTGGGACTACAGGTGCCTGCCACCATGCCTGGCTAATTTTTTATATTTTTAGTAGAGATGGGGTTTCACCGTGCTAGCCAGGATGGGCTTGATCTGACCTCGTGATCCGCCCACCTCGGCCTCCCAAACTGCTGGGATTGTAGGCTTGAGCCACTGCGCCCGGCCGGATCAAGCCTATATTCTTAATCATGAGGCCAGTATGTGTTTGAGGCTAAAAATTGCCTCTGAATTCATCTTTGATTGAATTCTCATTTATTTATAAAGGATTGTGTATAACTGAATTTTTTTCTTTGCCCCAAGGGTTAAGGTGTTTTTTTTGTTATTTTTTATTTATTTATTTTTTAAATTTTTATTTCTTTAAGAGACAGGCTCTCGCTATGTTGCCTGGGCTGGAGTGCAGTGGCTATTCACAGGTGTGTGATCATAGCGCCACCCTACAGCTTCAGATTTCTGGGCTCAAGCTATCCTCCCACCTCAGCTTCCCAAGCAGCTGGGATTACAGGAATGCACCACCAAGCCTAGCTCAATGGAGTATTTTTAAATGTCTAAGTGTTAGGTTTTTGTTGGTTTAGCCTATTTTAAAATTTTAAAATTGTGTTTGTGTGAGGAAATGTGGTTTATTTGTGCTTCTTGGAATTTTTGAGATTTTTCTTCATGGCCTATTATAAGGTCAGTTGTTTTTGTTTAAATCTTCATTGTGGTATTTATTTTATTCTGCCTTTCTCTGTACCTCTGTCTCTTCTTTAAAGTGGTTCAATTACTGAGGTCAGGCATTGTCTGTATTGATCTATAAGGCAACTGTCTAGTAGAAATATTTAATAAGTAGGCTGAATAAATGGATATTGATCGTTGTGGATTTGAAGAATGTTATATACATAAAAAATCCAGGCCAGGCTCACGCCTGTAATTCCAGCACTTTGGGAGGCTGAGGGCGGATCGCTTTATCCCAGGAGTTCAAGACCAGCTTGGACATGGTGAAACCCCATCTCTATAAAAAAAAAAAAAATACAAAAACTAGCTGGGTGTGGTGGCATGCACCTGTAGTCCCAGCTACTCTAGAGACTGAGGTGGGAGGATCACTTGAGCCCAGGAAGTGAAGGTTGCAGTGAGCTGAGATCATGCCACTACACTCCAGCTTAGGTGACAGAGTGAGACCCTATCTCAAAGAAAGAAAGAAAAAGGTAGAATAGAGACCAGGCCATTTCCTTTCCTTTGATCCCTCCAAATACCACAATTCCTTGTCATTTCTACTTGGATTCCCTCCACCACACCTCTTTGGACCTCAAAAGCATAGATTTCAATCATCATAATCTTTGGTTTGACACATTCTCATCATTAGTTCATACTTTATTATATTATAATGTATGCATTATAAGTATTTTTTTTTTGATACAGAGTCATGCTCTGTCACCCAGGCTGGAGTGCAGTGGCGCGATCTCGGCTCACTGCAACCTCTGTCTCCTGGTTTAAGTGATTCTCCTGCCTCAGCCTCCCAAGTAGCTGGGATTACAGGTGCATGCCACCACATCCAGTTAATTTTTGTATGTTTAGTAGATATGGGGTTTTGCCATATTGGCCAGGCTGGTCTTGAATTCCTGACTTCAAGTAATCCACCCACCTCGGCCTCCCCAAGTGTTGGGATTACAGGCATAAGCCACCGCACCCAGCCCATTATAAGTATTTTTGAAAACACCATCCCAAACAAAAACTGAAACTTTGACAGTAACATACATCTAACTGTGTGGTTCCCCCTTTCCCACCCCTTTTGTTTCCCACCATCTGAGGTGAGCATTTGAAACCCATGTTTATCGTTCCCTTGCTTTCCTTTTATGCAGTTTTATGCTTCTGCCTGTATTTTTTAAACTAAAAAAGGTTTTCTGTTGCATGTAATATTTTGGAGTTTATTCTTTTCAATTCTTGTTTCAATTTTGGTGGACTGTTGATTTCAGGAATTTTTTCAAAGGTCCTGTGATTTTCTTTTTATTCATCTTTGCAGAGGGGATTTATGTTTGCCTAGGGTTGACATACAATCAAGTGATTGATTTGGGATCTGTGTGAAATTGTATAGCAATTCCTGGTCAGAATCAAAGGCAGAACAGAAAGCTGTAGGCTGCCATTGTGGGGACCCAGCAGGCTGTGTGGACGGAGTGGGGCGCTGTCCTGGTGTTCCTTAATGGATCTTCATAATCTCCAGTTAAATATTTCTCTCCACTGCCACATCCAGCACTGGCCACTGGGTGTGGCAGCTCCCATCAGAGCAAGTTGTGGTCGCGTTACTGTGATGCCTGTTCCTGGAAGGAGGCACAGAGGCAGCAAGCATTCCTGTGGTGCCTCAGCTGGCCCTGTCACTCCTTTCTCAGATAACACCCTTCAGGGATCTAGAAATACTCTTTATTCAGATGGAAACAATCATAGTAACAGGCCATTCTACCAAGGGGATAGGGCTGTTTCTTCATAAGCCATAAACCTAAAACTAATCCTAATCTGTTTCCTAACTTGTATTTTAACTCATACCTGGATTCTAACCGCCATGGTCTTTTCTGCAGAATGTGTTCTAGTCCCTACATCCTAATGTATACCCCAGCTTCCATTCAAACCTTTTCCTTTTTCAATTTTATGAACTCTTTCCCCTGAATCTCTAATATCTGCGCTCCCACCTCTTTTCCTTCCTCCCATTCCTGCCAAATGCTAACCATGAACTGCTATTTAGTTAGCGCTTACTGTAAGCTGGACGCTGGGGTCATTGCTCATTATGTACCATCTCAGCTAGCTGATATCCTACTCTATGAGATGGTAACATTAGTTTTTCCATTTTACAGATGAGAAAACTGAGGCTCAATGAGATGAATTTGGACAAAGTCCATATCTCTGGTGAAGCTATCTCTGGTGAAGCTAAGATTTGATCTAGTGGTGTTTTTTGTTTCGTTTTGTTTTGAGATGGAGTCTCACTCTGTCACCCAGGCTGGAGTGCAGTGTGCGATCTCAGCTCACTGCAAGCTCCATCTCCTGGATTCATGTGACTCTCCTGCCTCAACCTCCTGAGTAGCTGGGACTACAGGTGCCCACCACCATGCCTGGCTAATTTTTGTATTTTAGTAGAGATGGGTTTTCACTGTGTTGGCCAGGCTGGTCTCAAACTCCTGACCTTGCGATCCTCCCACCTCAGCTTCCCAAAGTGCTGGGATTAAGGGTGTGAGCCACCGTGCCTGACTGTTTTGTTTTTTAAAGCTATGATGCCTTTGGCTCTAAGTGAAAGAAAACTTAAAGTGGCCTTAATAATGAAATTTACTATTTCACATAAAAAGGCTGGTTAATTTCATGGCTCTACATTACCCTCAGGACCCTGGCCTTTCTCCTCCACCATCCATCCTTGATGTCCCCAGGACTTGTCTCCAGGTTAGCTTTCCACAAGCCTTCCACATGCCTGCCAGTGTTCCAGCCTCACGTCCCCCAAAAGTCTAGGGGTAGGAATGGACATCGTTTTGTCTGGTGCATCTCTGTCTCTCTCACTTGCTCTAATTTGATGTGAACCTTTTCTTTAAGAACAAAGAAACTTTTCCCAGGACGCTCCCCTGCCCCAGCAGATTTCCCCTCGTATTATCCAGAATGCCAGAAGCCCGTGCCTAAGCAGTCATGGAGGAAGGATCATGGGGCCACGCTTAGACTAATCCAGCTCATTCCTCCAGGCTGGCTCTCCAAGCCTCCCTGATGAAGTTTCTGGCTCCTCAGAAGAAAGGAGATGGGGGTCAGGAATTAGATATAAGCTGTGATAGTGTCTGTCACAGAATCCCAAGTCTGGCTGTTAAGCTTGACACGCTGCTGCTATTCCGGGCTTGCCCCTCAGCTCCCACCCTCACTCTAAGTCCCCACAACTCTAAATGACACATTCTAAGGCCGTCCTTGGCAGAACAGTGAGGAACATGAAATGTGTGCCTTGGGGCCCAGTGCTTTTGTGCAATTCCCCTGGGGTGTCAGTGCTGTCCTTGGGCAGCGCAGGCATGGTCACTGGAGGTGGAGAGGAGCAGAGCTCTGCCTCAAACGTGGGCCCTGAGCCCTCAGCCTGGCCCTGACCCAACCTCAGACCCAACACTGTGAGTGCAGCTGCACCCGGCCCAGAGTTGGGTTTTAATCATGTTTCCCCCTCCTCTGAGATCTCATCTTCCTGGTCTGTGCTTTTTCTTCTCTTAGAATCGGAATCTTTTTTTTTCTTTTTTAAACAAATTCTAACTTGCCCCGTAGTCTTACCGCCCACCCCTACAACAACTTTATCCTGTTTCCTTCCCTCAACCCTCCACAGCTTTTCTGGCTCCCATGGAGTGCACACTCGGCCACCGTGGCCGGAGCCTCGCAGAGCCTGGCTCATTTGTTGAATGGATGACTCTGATTATAGCAGGTATTCAGTAAGCCACTCTTGTTAAATTAGTGAAAATAAACGATGTTACTCTTTAGAGGTGTCTAGGTTCCTTTTTTTCCCCCATCACCTGTCCTCTTTCACCTCCTCTTTGGGCCCTGGCTTCCCTTAGAGACCCTCTTTCTCAAGGTCCAGACTCACGAGGAGTGCAGTGTCCACATCTCATGCAGGCGCTCAGGAAGGAAGGAAGGAAGTCACTGAGACAGAGCTCAGTGGCCCAAATGGTTTCTGCTCCCTCACCTCACACCTCCCACCTCAGGGCTTCCTTCGGTTCCGGCCCTGCCCCACGAGGCAGGACCACCTTTGTCCTGGACAGACAGACCTGCTAGCCTCTGCTCTACAGTTCTGCCGGCCTTGGCCCTGGCTGTCCTCACACGAGTGCCCCCTCCCTTCTCTCCTCCCTTAGCCCCGCCTCCTTCCTCTAGCCCCATAGCCCTGGACACGGTACACACAGACCAGAGCCTTGGCTCAAAGGCAAACAAAAGGAACTGCCTGGCTCTCCATGGCTGTGGCCAGCACCTTCATACCAGGGCTCAACCCTCAGAACGCTCATTATATCCCGGGGTAAGACTCCCACCCAGAACTCTCCACTTGCTGCTGGGAGTAGGGATATAAGGTGGAGGAATTAAGCTGCTTAGAACGTGGGGCCAAGCGGACAGGTTGGTTTGGGAGGCTGAGGTCTCTATGGTGTTGGATGGAAAAGGAGAAGCAAGGGACGAGTGAGACCCCAGATCTGCCCCGAAGCTTTGTGTTGTTCTCTCCATGGGAACAGGGTAACAGCAGAGAGGAATGGTCGAAAGCCCAGGCAGAGAACTTAGAAATGCCTGCTCCAAATGTATACACTGCTGAGTCCAGAAAGACCAGGGCTCCAGAGGTCTCTGCTTCTGCCTCTGGGGATGGCGGGGCAGGACGATTCTGGTGAGTGGGTGAGTCTGTGCTGCAGGTACACTGGACACTGCCCACTACTTCGGTTCAGCATGGGCCAGACCTATGGGCAGGTGACTGGTCAGCTACTTCGAGACCCTCCTGGGCTAGCCTGGCCCCCTGTCCACCGCACACTTCTGCCTCCCATTCGGCCTCCAAGATCTCCTGAGGTTCCCAGGGAGAGCCTACCTCTCAGGCATGGGCATAAAAGGCTCAGCTCCAGCATGATCCCTGGGTACACAGGTTTGTACACAGGTATACCCAGGTGCCCCTCCCAGGAGCACATGTTCCAAACACTAATGAGTCTTCCTTGTCCCCGCATGCCCAGGTTTTGTACCCCGGGCACAGTTCATCTTTGCCAAGAACTGCAGCCAGGTCTGGGCCGAGGCTCTGAGTGACTTTACTCACTTGCATGGAAAGCAAGGGAGTGAAGAGCTGCCAAAGGAGGCCAAGGGAAGAAAGGACACAGAGAAGGACCAGGTACCAGAGCCAGAGGGGCAGCTGGAGGAGCAGCCAGCACTGGAGGTGGTGGAACAAGTGAGACCAAGAAGCTGGTGGGGAGTGTGGAGGGGTGGGAGTGGGGGCCTTACTGTGTGTCCGGGCAGTGGTGGGGATGGTGGGGGCAGCCTTGAGTAGTGTGGCTGTGGGTTCAGGGGATGTGCGCTTGACTGTCAGCTCCGCCTCCCTGGGAGATTGAGAGCACAGGGGCTTCTCTCACAGGCTTCTCCCTACTCCATGGATGACAGGGATCCTCGCAAGTTCACGTCAGGTGAGAGCTGGGGGTTAGGATCAGAGGCGTGGGGAGGCCCCAGGATGCCTTGGCTCAGTGTCCCCATCCCCAGGCTTCACCGGCTATGTGCCCCGCGCCCGCTTCCTCTTCGGCTCCAGCTTTCCTGTGCTCAGCAACCAGGCACTGCAGGAATCTGGGCAGAAGCACTCACCAGGCAGTGCCCAGAAGGACCCCAAATATCTCCCCCCACTTCCCAGGACATACCCTCAGAACCTGGGTCTTTTACCTAACTATGGGGGCTATGTGCCAGGTGAGAAGAGCCCCCAGGGAGGCTTTGGGGACTGGAATGTTTGTGTGGGTATGGGGGTGGGGTGGTTTGTGGGGGTTGGAACTGATATGGGAGGGCTCAGATCATGTGGTTCAGCTTTATCATTAGGCAGAAAAGGAAACTGAGGTAGCTACCCAGTGAGGAGTTCAGATTTTAGAGGGTCGTTTGGAGGTCTAGCCAACTGGCTGAGAATTAAATGGCTTTGCCATGCCACTGGCTACACATGACACTCTCTTGGCCACACAGGGTATAAGTTCCAGTTTGGCCACACATTTGGCCATCTCACCCATGATGCTCTGGGCCTCAGCACCTTCCAGAAGCAGCTCTTGGCTTAGGCCCCTGGATATCAAGTTCCCTTCCCTTTTCATCCTATCCCAGCCATCCTTTTGGAAGGGAGAAAGGTGGGTGGGAGGAGCATAAAGAGAAAATGGTCTGGAGGCTGAGCACCTTTTTTATTAATAGGTATAATAAATAAATAAATAAATACATAAACAGACGCCTGGGCTCCTCCTCCCTCTTCTGATGACCAGGCACTGGCCATAGCCTATTTACAGCTGGGGGGCTTAGGGATCTGGCCCCAATACTGTTACCCATCCTCATCTCCACCTGGCCTAGGGAATCCTGTAGATGGCTTTCTAGGCCACCTGCCTCCAGGGGGACTTGCTTGTCTTCACCCATGGAAAGGTTGACCCAGACGGGCCAGGGAAATCCTGGCAGCCCAGTGCTGCGTCCTGTCCCTCCTTTCCTGGGTGGAGGTCTGGACGAGGCCACTGGGGCAGTTAAGGGGGCGTAATTAATACTGAGCACAGGGAGCAGGTGCCAGCACAGGGATACGTGGCCCCAGCTCTCAGTCTACTCTGCAGCCAAGCCAATGGCTTGGGAAGGGCTCTCAGGCTCTGAGTCTGGGGGTTATGAGGGTCCCTGAGGCCACCAGCATGCACAGGGCCTCAGTTTTGGCTGCTTCCAGGGGTTGGACTTGGAGTTGGGGTCAATGTCACGTAGGCCAGGGGCACCAGGCCAGAGTCAGGGCCACGGCTGCAGCGCAGCCAGTCTCCTCCAGCTTGCCCCAGCACTCGTAGGATGTCTCCTTTGTGGAAGCTCAGCTGTCCAGGGCCGGTGGCCAGGTGGTGGCACAGTGCCTGCACCTCACTGGGGAAACAGCACATGGAGGTCAGAGAAACCCCATCAAAAGCCAACTGCAGTCCCTCAGCCCTTCCATTTCCCCAGGCTCACCATGGAGGGCTGGAGGGCAGGGCTGGAGAGTGTGGCTCCTGCAGGCTCTCCTTGGGCTCTGGCTCCCGGCGGGCACCCACTGTCTGTGCCACTAGTTGGAACATGGACTTGTCCAGGCTCAGCCAGTCCGAGGGGAGCCTAGGGACAGCAGCTGGACTCAGGCTCTGCCCATGCCCTGGCTTACAGCAGGCTCCCTACTCCCTCCATCCCTACCATGGGCAGGCTCTCACCTGTTTGTGGGCCGGGCCTCCCGCTGGGCTTTTCGGGAGCCAAAGAGGTGTCCCCACTTGATGCCTCCAGGTGAAGGCTCTGAGGCCCCTCCCTCATTTTCTGCTGGTGGGGCCGCAGGCCCTTCCCTCTCCCGACTGCGCCTCAGCTCAGCCAGCACAGAGTCAGGGGGGCTCCCCATCCAGAAGGGCCAGCCCCTTTCCCGGCCCAGGGCCTCCTCAGAGGCAGGGCAGGCCTCAGCCCCCTCCACTACTCCCTCTCGGGGTGGTGGAGCCTGGGGAGGCCCCCCACCTCCTGCCCCTTTCTTTTTCTCACTGCTGCTATTGCTGCTACCACGAGGGAACCTGGAACCCTCAGTGGAGCCATCAATGTAGACCTGGGAGCTCTGCATCAGCTGGTACCACCAGCCGGCCTGCCCACCTCGGGCCCACCTGCCACGCCCTGAGCCCCCGGCTGCCTCTGCCACCTCTTCTGTCTCTTCTTCTTCCTCTTCTTCTTCTCCACCTTCTGAGGCACCCACGCCCTTCACCCGCTCCCCTTGGGCTGCCCTGTCCATGTCTCCAGGGCCCTCCTGGCCCCGGGCCCGGGCCAGCTGCAGCGTGGAGTGGGCAGACAGCAGCAGGTCCTGGGACACCCGCAGCAGTTCCTTGTGCTGCCGCTGCTGCTGCCCACTTTGCAGCAGACGGTGCTGGAATAGCAAGTCGAGGCTGAAGGGCAGCAGGGCCAGGGGCTGTAGCAGCAGCAGCAGCTCCTCAAAGAGGCTGGGACACACGGTATGAGCTGCACTCAGGAAGCCCCAGGGCTGGTAGTGGGTCTGGATGATGTCTAGGGGAAAAGAGAGAGGGACTGATCCACACAGAGAAGCAGAGCCTGGCCCAAGTGGGACTTTGAAAGACAGCCTGGGCAGAGCTGTGGCAGACAGCGGCGCAGGCTGTGCACCAGTCAACTTTCATGTACTAAGTGTAAACGCTGCCACCCACAGCTGTGCAGTGCCTAAACCCTCCAACCCCAGGCGGTGGCCCTGAGTTTAGAGGAGTGAGATGCTGGGATTCCTGGCCACCCTGACTCCCAGATTGCTGGAGTATCCTGCTGGCTCCAAGGTTTTTTGTTTTGTTTTTCAGACTGAGTCTCACTCTGTTGCCCAAGCTGCAGTGCAATGGTGTGATCTCGGCTCACTGCAACCTCTGCCTCTCAGGTTCAAGCAATTCTCGTGCCTCAGCCTCCTGAGTAGCTGGGACTACAGGCATGTGCCACCACAGCCAGCTAATTTTTGTATTTTTAGTAGAGATGGGGTTTCACTATGTTGCCCAGGCTGATCTCGAACTCTTGACTTCAGGTGATCCACCTGCCTCGGCCTCCCAAAGTGCTGGGATTACAGGCCTGAGCCACCGTGCCTGGCCCAAGGTTTTAACTCAAGCAGAGGCTGGGGAAGGCCTTGGGTGGAAGCCTGAGGCTCTGAGGATGAACGCTTGTGTGGTCCCCCTCACCACCTCCAGCAATGAAAAGAGCTCTTCCTTCCTCTTTTGTGCCTCTGAATTCTGACCCATTGAGTTTGACCTGCAGGGTTCTGGGCATTACCTTCGTGGTTATAGAGGTGATTAAACCAGAACTCCAGGGACCGGATGCTGTAGGGAGACAGATGAAGACAGTTGAGTCTTGTGTGAATACAGCCAGATAAGGATACAGATCCAGGGGGTCAGGCACAGGAAGAATAGGTGAACGCACCCTTCCATGGCACGATTCATTTCACCTAATTCCAGAGAGTCAGTGGGGATGTGTGGAGGGAGATGGACATGTGATTTACAAGCCAATTGCTTCCTCCTGGAGTGGAGTCAGCCTGCAGTAGACCTAAGAAATCAAGGTGGCTACTGTGTGAAAGTACAGGCAGCTCAGGGCCAAAGGAGATGGCCTGGGCCCATACCTGAGAAAGCATGTTACTAGGATGTGGGTCCCAAGGTGGACTTAGGGTCAAGCAGGATTTGGAAGTAGTGCTGGAATGGAGAGGATCAGGGTTTACAAGGTCCAGAGAAATTAAGAAACCTGACTAATTTCCAAATAAGTCAGATTACAGATTTGTAAAAGCAGCCCACGCTGGTGACCAGTGTCAGAGTCATGGGCACAGTGGGAAGGCAGTGACTTACTGAGAGGTCATAGCAGGCTGGGAGGACCCTCCAGATCCACCCTTTCTGTCTGTCCAGGGAGTTGGTTCCTTGGCACAGGCAGAGCCCGGGGGTCGGGGGCAGAGCAAGTTGTTTAGGGGATCTTGCCGCTCTGTGCACTCACTTGAGCAGGCCGAGGATGAAGGCGTTGAAGCGCATGGTATGACTGGTGAGCTCTGGGAATTGGCTGACTTTGTTGTAGAGGCCATGCAGGACCTTGGTGGATGGGCCTGGGAGGAAGCCAGGGTTGCAGGTCACATGACCAATTTCTGGAACCCTAAATTCAGCCCCGGGTCCCCGTCTTGGCACCCAGCACCTACCTAGCTGTGTGGAAGCCTCAACCACACTCCATGGCATGTTCTTACGCTGCCCGATGATGACGTCCAGTACAAAGGCCTTGAGCCCATCCTCCAGCACAGCGCGGACAGCAGGGCACAAGTACTTCAGAACCAGGTGGCCCACATTGGGGCTCACAGAACTGTTTCCCAGCTTTGCCTGTAGGTGTGGTAGGGAAGTGCAGTAAACTGCCTCAGGCCTGACCATGGTCCTCTCATAGCAGGCCCTCATGGTTCCCCTCTTGCCATCCCCATTCCTAAGTACCCAACCCTGGGCTCTAAATGCAAGACAGCAAGGGAAGGTGGTAGCGCAGGACAGGTAAGGGCGTGCAGGCAGAGCTCAGCTCTTCACATTTCCTCGCCTACCTTCACCCCGGGATCCCGGCTTGTGCCAAAATGGGCCACAATGAGGTCCACAGCAGTGTTAACAGCTTTTACCAGCCCTGCAAGGAAGAATGTGATGTGACAGGTCCCTGAGCAAGTCCTTAGTCAACTCAGCTGAGGCTGAAACTTCAGCGGGGGTGGGAAAGGGCTCCCACACTTACTCAGTCTCCACACCTGCATGTGGGTCTCATCAGAACATTCAGGCCTGGCCGTTTTCTGGTTCTGCCCAGTTCTTAAGCTCTTCCTGTCTTTACTTCCCAGCCTGGAGCCACCTCAATAATGCCATTGTCAAGCCTCCCAATGTCCTCACCTCTCAGTCCTCTTATTCCAATCCTGGCTCAGGCCAACTATGAGTTTTCTCCACTCTGAGAAACCAGGCCACTGATCTGAAGAAAACCCAAGTCCCTCACACCAGTGCCAGACAAGGGCGATTCTTTGATACGTGCCTTGTCAGCACTCCCTGCCATACCCTCAAGTTGCCATGTGAAATCGACACCACTCCTCTCAAGCCCTTGGTTCTGCTTCAGAGAACAGGGGCCCCTAGTTATAAACTCTTTTAACTTCCCTCTGCCTCCAAAATTCGTAACAATCTCATATGTACACCCCTCACTCCCCTGCCCACTTGCATCTCCTTCATGTCCTGGAGGAAGGTGGCTGTTTCCCTTCTTGCCCGGGTTCTTTCTCCCTGAGCTCTGATTCTCCCCTTCTGCCTTTGCAGGGAACTTAAGCTCTCTTCACAGGCTCATCTTCAGCCCACAATTATGCTCAGTTCTCTCCATCTCCCTAAAAATGTTCTTAGAGTGGGTCTTGTCAGTCTTCATCTTACTAGATGTCACCAACACGCTTACCCAAGCTGCCAGGCCCTCTAGTACCTTCACCTGCCCCTCCAAGAGCACTGAGGCATTTTTTGATGACATGGAAGCCTCCTCATGAGACTTCGCTCACTGCAGGAAGGGACTGGAGCCCGACTCCGAAAGCCTCTGATGAATGACCCTTGCTCAGTCATATGCACTCATGATACACAGCTTTCTCCTCCGGCCCTAGAGCCTGGAGATTTGTTTCTGTTTTTTTTTTTTTGAAATGGAGTTTTCACTTCTGTTGCCCAGGCTGGAGTGCAATGGTGTGATCTCAGCTCACTGCAACCTCCACCTCCTGGGTTCAAATGATTCTCCTGCCTCAGCCTCCCGAGTAGCTGGGATTACAGGCGCCCACTACCACGCCCAGCAAAATTTTTTTGTATTTTTAGTAGAGATGGGGTTTCACCATGTTGGCCAGGCTGGTCTCGAACTCCTGACCTCATGATCCACCTGCCTTGGCCTCCCAAAGTGCTGTGATTACAGGCTTGAGCCACTGGGCCCGGCCAGCACTTAGAGATTTAAGACTGGCTAGGTAGTAGGGCAAGTGTGAGGAGGTAGTGACAGCAGAGTCCCTGGCCTGAGCTGGGGGTTATATGCACCTTTTTTCTGAAGCAGGTCAATGGAAATGGCCTCTGAGCTGCCATCTGGGGACAGACAAAACTCAGCTGGAGGCTTCTCCGTCAAGGAAAAGGGGTCCTGGAAGTCAGGGCAGGTCAGTGGAAACGGCTTCACTGCTTGGCCTGGAAAGAAGAGAAAAGTCAATCCTGAGCAACTCTCGGTGCAGGAGTTCCAGCCCAGTTCAGTGCCTTGTACTGTCTGAGACATGTTCCTTTGGGACTGACCCCTTCTCTAGCCCTTCCCAGCCATGGCAGAGCCTGCCCCGGGTGTACTGGGGACCCTGCTCACACACCATTCAGCCGGCAGTTCAGATGGCTGGCAGCACTGAGGGAGCCAGGGAACTCAAAGATAGGGTTTCTTCGGGCCAGCCGAGCTTCTTGTGATCTTCGGTCTAGGATTCCTGACAAACCAGGTGGCCCTAGTGGGTTCTTCCTCCTGTATTCCCGCCACTTAAGGGCTTGAGGGGATAGGTGGTTGGCTGGAAGCAGACAGATCAGCAGAAAGACAAGAGTTGGCAGGAGACAGTGAGACAGTTTGACACCCACCCAGCGGCCCGCATGAAACACTAGGTTATTATCTACAGATGCTGGGGAAGGACGCAGACATCCTAACCTCTGGCCCCAGGCGAGACTGTAAGCAGCCACTCAAAGGGGAGGTGGTGGAAGTGCTTGTGTGAGGTGGCGGTTTGGGGAGGGAGATGCTGGAGCTCGTACCATTACTGGGCCTGGTGGCCATGCTGCCCTCACCACCTCCCCGGGCCAGGCTCTCTGCTCGGCTGAGGCCAGATCGCCAGGAGCCCAGAGGCGGCAAGCTTCCTGTTCCATGGAGCCGGTACTCAGTCAAGGTCAGTATCTTCTGATCCTCCTTCTGCGGCTGCTGGGAGGTGGCAGGCCGGACAGCAGGAGGACAGGAGTGGCTCCATGGGGGCAGGCTTTCTGTGGCTGTGGGCTGCTCTGGAGGAGGGGAGCACGAAGTGGAGGCAGAAGAGTCAGTGCTGGGCCCAAAGGGGCCAACACTCCGGATGGGGGAGTAGCTTCCCAGGGGCGATGGCCGAGAGGTCTCTGGCTCAGACCCAGCTTTCCTGGCACCTCTGCCAGTGGCTCGGAGAGTGGATGCCTGCGGCTCCCCTGAGGGAGCTGGGACTGAGACTTGAGCAGCAGGGGCAGCCAGTGGGGCAGGCTGCTGTGTACGGCTGCAGCCTGAGAGGCTGTAGAGCTGGGAAAGGCTGTGGAGGGCCCGGGCCTTAGCCAGCTGCTTGGGGAAGTGGTGCTGGAACACGAAGGGCTGGATGGGCAGCGTGGTTGGCCTCTGTTCCTTGCTGTAGCGAAGGACTGGTCGGCTCTCAGTGCCACCCCCTGTAGCAAAGGGATGGAGAAGAAATCAGTAGACAGACACTGAAACCCATATGAGAGAAAACCCAGAAGCAGAGATGGGAGAGGGGAGAGGGTCAGGGACCTGACGGGCAGCAATTGAATGGGGTAGAAGTTTGTGGACTGGGACACTGCTCCCCTCTTTTGTAAAACGTTTCCTATTGTTTTTTATGGTGCTGGACTGTCTTGTACCTCTCTGCTGTTCAGTCCCTCTTCATTTTCATGACTCCAAAGGTGAGTGTATCTTAAGGCTCAACTCTTACATATCACCTTATGCCTTCTTTCTTACACAGTTTGAGTTCAGACTGCCACAGGATGACTCCCAAACCCACAGCTTTAGCCTGGACCTTCCTCTTGATCTCCAGATCATTCTGCTTTATAGTTCTGCTTTCATTTAAAATGTGCTATAGCAGCTCATCCATTACCTTTCTCGTTTTTTCCGATGACTTCCATTTCTGTCAATGGCAGAACCATTTTCTTTGTTTCTAAGTCTTGGAGTCACAGTCACACATTTTCAGTGATGAAAATGTTTCAGTTGTTATTGATTTCAAGCTTTTGCTCATTATCCCATCTCCAATCATGCCAGCACATCTCATTCTTGAGCATATCTAACCATAGTAAGATATTTCTTTACTTGCAGCCTTCCTGTTATCTGTATCTACCCCTACTCCCCACTCTTCACGATCCTGGTATTGGAACCTCAGAGTCCACATTTGCTCCCCCTGAACGGAGGTACGTTCCCCAAGGCTGGGCCTCTCCTGTTCTTTCAGGCAGTCTTCAGGTCAATGTCCCTCAAAATATGGTGCTCAGAACTAAACACAAAACTCCAGGACACTGGAGTGGGACAGTGGATGGACTGTACTTCCAACAAAACACTGTAGATCTCCGAATAAACGCAAGATGGCACTATAAGCACGCACCCGGCCTAAAGCCCTGGTGAAAGCTCACCAGCAAGGGGGCTATCTCTGTGAGGCGGGAATTAGTTCTCTTGACAGATTAGGAAATGTGAAATGTAGACAGATTAAAACACTTGCTCAAGGTCAAACAACTAGGAAGTGGCAGAGCTAGAATTCTGCCTAACCCAGAGTCTGATTTCAGAGCCACTGTTCTTTTTACCACATTGTACTACATGTGAAATTGTATCAGGCCAGGTTTTCCTATCTCTCATCTTATTTACATTAAAGAGTCAGAGGGGATGGGGACTACAATCCCATAGGGAGGTGCTTCTGATTCACTCCCAGGGGACACTTTCAAGCTCCACCCTCCTGCTATCCCCAGTCAGTGCTTACACAAACTCTGCATTCTCCCTGGCTCACTGTGCTCCAGCCACACTTCCCCGTCCTTAAATATACCAGGTGCATGAACATCTCAGGGCCTTTTGCACCTGCTTTTCTTTCTGCCTGAATCTTCTCACCATTCAGGCATCAGCTCAAATACCACCCCCTCAATAAGACCTTCTCTGACTACCTCAGCCCTTCTGGCAAGTTGCTCTCTATCTCATTATCTTGTTTCATTTTCTTTTCAGCACTGTTGAACTTTCCAGCAATTAAAAGTTGTCCTTTTAGTGTGTTTATTGTCCATTACTACTCATAAGAGCTCCAGAAAAGTGGGATTTTATATTGTTCACTGCTGGATCCATAATGCCTGGAACAGAGGCTGGCACACAGTATGCAGTGAATAACGATCTGTTAAATGAGGGAATCTCCACGGTCACTCTTGATTCAAGCCAGTCTCACTGGCTTGAACCAGAAGCTTCTTACATACACCAACTAGCTTCTGAGATACAAATTTTATCTTCCAGAATAAAGTCGAATTTTCTCAGCAAGCTAGGTGCCCACACCTGCTACAAGCTAGGCTGCTCTCCCCTCAGACTTCCACACCTGCCCCCACTGACCCTACTCTTCCTGGTACATCCCTGTCATAAAGCACACTGCTTTTCCCATCGGGAATGTGTTCTTCCTTCCCGCCTGTTTATCAGTTTTCAAGGCTGAGCTGACTCTGGCTATCGGATTAGGTCATCCCAACCACAGCTTTCTTATACCCCCTATATAAAGTATGTCTGAATTAGACTGCTTATTCCTACCCTTTTAAAACTCTTCTCTGCTAAGTTCCCAGGATACAGTTTGAGGCAGAGGAATAAGATCAGGTAAGAAGGGGGTCCCTGTGGGGAATGGGTCTTAGTTCTACCCTCAGGGAATACACAGAATAAGTTTTCTCACTTTTCTATGTGACATTCATTAAGAAAACCAGAGACAGAGACTATATTCACCCGAGTCAGTTTTTCTCTAGGTCAAATAGCCCCAGTCCCCCGGTTCCTTCTTAAAATGTGGTGCCCAGAACTCAATGGAATACCACTGAGCACTCACTGGTTCGGGGGAGTGAGAGACTATCATCCACTCTTTCTTTCTGGAGTCTATGAATGAATCCACTCATCTTAACTTTTTGGAAGCTCTACCAACTGCTGACTCATTCTGAGTTTGCAATCAAATATCCCAAATCAACTCAAGTGCAGGTTACATATCAAATTTCACATTGGTCTTTGCTTTATTAGTTTTGTTCTTTCCAGATTCAGTAAGATCCCTTTAAATCTTGATTCTGCTGCTCAGTATCTCAAAGAGCCGTCTCAGCTGCCTTTTTTTTTTTTTTTTAAATTTACTTTTTTTTGAGACAGAGTCTCACTCTGTCACCCATGCTGGAGTGCAATGGCGCGATCTCAGCTTACTGCAACCTCCGCCTCCCAGGTTCAAGTGATTCTTGTGCCTCAGCCTCCCAGGTAGCTGGGACTACAGGCGTGCGCCACCATGCCTGGCTAATTTTTGTATTTTTAGTAGAGATGGGGTTTCTCCATGTTGGCCAGGCTGGTCTCGAACTCCTGGCCTCAAATGATTTGCCCACCTCAGCCTCCCAAAGTGCTGGGATTACAGGTGTGAGCCACCACACCTGGCCTACTTTAATTTTTTTTTAGAGATAGGATCTCACTTTTTGCCCAGGCTGGAATGCAGTGGTGGGATCATAGCTCACTGTGCCTCAAAATCCTGGGCTCAGGCGATCCTCCCGCCTCAGCCTCCTGAGTAGCTAGGACTACAGGTGTGTGCCACCACTCCCAGCTATTTTTAATTTTTTTTTTCTGGTGACACAGGGTCTCACTATATTGCCCAGGCTGGTTTCAAACCCCTGGCTTCAAGTGATCCTCCTGTCTCAGCCTCCCAAAGTGCTGGGATTATAGGTGTGAGCCACCATGCCCAGCTGACCTTCTCAGCTTTCTATACTGTCATTCCTAGATTGGATCTACTGGTCCCTTCTTTTGTCATTCAAAGCTTGATGAATTGTCATTCGTTTTTGATTTAGAAAAAAGCTGTACAGAATCAAGAGAAGACTGGAGACTTATGGAACAGAGCAGCATCTTGATATGAAAAGTCTTAATCTGATAGAGAAAACACTTTTTAACTCCTCTCCTCACATCTCTGACCAGGATATTTCTTGCCCTCAGAACGCCAGTCATAGTATCCCATGAGATGCACCCAGCAGACACTGCACTCTAAGAAGGGAGTGGGTTCAAAGGACCCACTCGATCCTTGCTGTTTCTGATCCTGCCTCTTCCCTAGAGATCTCCCTCCTGTAACCACCCCAAGGACAGCTCTTCAGCGTATGTTAGGAGCATGAGGTCTTCTGACGGACTGTGATCTCCCTGACAGCACAGATACTATTTATGGCTTTTAAACATTTTCTTTTGCAAAGCCAACAGACCCAACCTAAGGCTACAGGACAGCTGTGAGCCTCTGCTATCCCTGCTTCACCTCCCTTTCCTTCTAAACCCTCTGAGATTTGGCTTCCACTCTCACTACTCCCGAATGTTGCCTTCAGGATTCTTCATTATCTTAGGTGATTTCTCTTTAGAACTCTTTTGGTTCAAACTCTTTTTTTAAACTTTCTCCTCCTTTGGTTCCTGTGACTTCACTCTCTCCTGGTTTTTCTTTTCTTTTTGAGATGGACTTTCACTTTCTCACCCAGGATGGAGTGCAGTGGCATAATCTTGGCTCACTGCAACCTCTGCCTCCCAGGTTCAAGCAATTCTGCCTCAGCGTGTGTAGCTGGAACTACAGGCACCCGCCACCACACCCAGCTGATTTTTGTATTTTTAGTAGAGACGGGGTTTTACCATGTTGGTCAGGCTGGTCTTGAACTCCTGACCTCAGGTGACCTGCCCACCTCAGCCTCCCAAAGGGCTGGGATTAAAGGCATGAGCCACCATGCCTGACCTCTCCTGCTTTTTCTTCTATTGTCCTAATTCTTCTCAGTCTCTTTTAAGGCTGCTGCTCATCCCTTAAGTCACAGTATCCCCTTCTTCCCTTTATAACTCCACATACTCTCCCTGGATCCTCTCTCAGCCACAAGCATAGCTTTAGCTACCACTTTTGTTTTTTATTTTTGAGACAGAGTCTCACTCTGTTTCCCAGGCTGGAGTGCAGTGGCATGATCTAGGCTCACTGCAACCTCTGCCTCCTGGGTTCAAGCGATTCTCCTGCCTCAGCCTTCCACATAGCTGGGATTACAGGTGTGCACCACCACACCCAGCTAATTTTTGTATTTTTAGTAGAGATGGGGTTTCACCATGTTGGCCAAGCTGGTCTTGGACTCCTGAACTCAGGTGATCTGCCTGCGTTGGCCTCCCAAAGTGCTGGGATTACAGGTGTGAGTCACCACGTCTAGCGAGTGCCAGCTACCACTTTTATTCCAATGACTTTCCAATCTGCACAGTGCTTTCTCCTGACTTCAGGGAAGACACCCCTTCCAGTCCATCTTCTACCCAAACAACCAGTGATCCAATTACTTTTTTTTTTTTTTTTGAGATGGAGTCTCGCTCTGTCGCCCAGGCTGGAGTGCAGTGGCGTGATCTCAGCTCACTGCAAGCTCTGCCTCCCGGGTTTACGCCATTCTCCTGCCTCAGCCTCCTGAGTAGCTGGGACTACAGGCGCCCGCAACCTCGCCCAGCTAGTTTTTTGTATTTTTTAGTAGAGATGGGGTTTCACCGTGTTAGCCAGGATGGTCTCGATCTCCTGACCTCGTGATCCGCCCGTCTCGGCCTCCCAAAATGCTGGGATTACAGGCATGAGCCACTGTGCCCAGCCCAATTACTTTTTTTTTTTAAACAAGGCCTGAAGGAGCAAACAACCAGTGATCTTTCTAAAATGCAAATCAAAACATACAATTAAGCAGACAGAAAAACCAAACCAAACAAAAACAAACAAATGCCAAAAGCCATTTCTCTGACTAAAATCTTTCAGTGGTTCCACCTGTTTTCCACTATGGCTACACCAAATTATATGCAGTTCCTAGAAAGGGTCAAGCTATTCTGTACCTTTGTGGTTTTGTACAGACTATCCTGTGAGCCTAGAACATTCTTCTTACAAGTCTTCACAAAGACTAATCCTAATCATCTTTCTAGATTGGCCTTAAATGTAAACTGCATTAGCAGTTCCTCCGACATTTCAGTCTGATCTAGATACCCCTCTCACTGGCCAGTATGCAACACTGCCATCTCTGCATTTTAATGATCGACTACATTTTCTGTTTCCATCCTTAGCTGGAATCCTTGAAAACAGTCATCCCTCTCATCTCTCTGTCACCAGCACCCCCTTAACACACTGGTATAAAATATTTATTTAAAATGTAACAAAATAAATAGGGAAAGAGCTGGCCTAGGGAGGCCACTGTGTTCCGGCCGGGGCGAAAGAGCAAGACTCCGTCTCAAAAAGAAAAAAAAAACCTGACGCTCAGTGTGTGTGTTGTTGTTAGACGTATCCCTTGGTTGCCCCTTAGGCACCGCAAATTCCTAAATGTCCGAACCTAACTGATGTCTTATCCCTCTTCCAGGAAATCTCCTGTGATTACAGCCCCTATCCGTGGCCTCATCTTTCCCATCATCCAGGTTCAGAATCAGTCTTCTGAATCCTTCATTTCCCAATCAGCCTCTAAGTCCTGCTGATTTTATCTCCTCAGTGTATTTTTTCTTTTTCTTTTTTTTTTGAGACAGAGTCTCACCCTGTCTGCTCAGGCTGGAGTGCATTGGTGTGATCTCGGCTCAGTGCAACCTCCGCCTCCTGGGTTTAAGCGATTCACCTGCCTCAGCCCCCTGAGTAGCTGGGATTACAGGCGGGTGCCACCACTCCTGGCAAATTTTATTTTTTAGTAGAGATGGGGTTTCATTATGTTGGTCAGGCTGGTCTCAAACTCCTGACCTCAAGTGATTCGCCCGCCTCAGCCTCCCAAAGGGCTGGGATCACAGGCGTGAGTCACTGCGCCGGGTCTGCTCAGTGTATTTTTGAGTCCTCTGTCTTTCCTCAGTGAGCCCACTCCACTGTAGCTGTGGGACCTGCCCTGGCCTGGAGGGATAACAGATCTAGGATGTGGAACCTCTGGTGGTATGGACAGGGTGGTTTGGCGGGGACCCGTCACGGAGGTGGCCATGCATATCCTGCTGGTGAATAGCCACATATTCGCTAACCCTTAGGCTTCTTACCATCAGCTCTAGCTCTTGCATCCCTCTGGGTATGGCTGTTGGCTGGGCTCCCCGGGAGAGCAGTCCCTGGATCCATCAGCTGAGCCAGGGGACCTTGCCCCGCAGCTCTAAGGCCAGCAGAAGGCATCTCACTGGAGTGGGGTCCCTGACAGACCTGGGTGGACCAGGGTGGACTTGGCTTTGGGCCAAGTAAGTCCATGCCTGGCCCCAAGGGCATGGGTGGCAGGCTATGGCTACAGCGAGTGCCCTCATCCAGTGGGGCCCCCCGATCTTGCTGGGCTTCTTGGATGGGTGAGAACTCCTGGGAGGAGTCCCCAACACTCACACGAAGTGGGGGCGAGCCAGAGCCTCCAGTTTTCTTCCGGCCCTTGGCCAGCTCGGCAAAGGAGGTGACCCTCCTGGGTGGGGAGCTAGGCCCGGCTATGGCTGCAGGGCCCTCACTTAAGCGCACTGGGCAACTCAACATGCGTTCCAGTGAGCCCAGGCGGACAGGAGGGCTGCGCTCCAGGCTGCGATCATAGCTGCGGGAGCGCTGACGTCCAGTGCCGAGGTTGGGGGGTGAAGTATTCGTGTATACTTGCCCCTCAAGCACAGTGGGGCCCACAGCAGCTGCTGCCTCGCTGGAGGAACTCACTGCTTCTTGTTCCTCTGGCTGGACTTCTGGCTTCTGGAATAGGTAATACTCAGAGGGCTGGCTGGGGCCTGGGTCTGGGCCAGGGCCTGGTGGGGGACTTATCTTGGTGTGTTCCTCAGAGCAGCTGGTGATGGAAGAGCCAGCAGGGCTTGGGGATGATTGGGAGGACAGGTCACAGGTGACAAGTTTATAGTAATTTTGTGTGGCCACAACAAGACGGGCCTGGCTTTGGAAGCAGGCTGTGAGGTCAGCCACTGCTGGGCACGGCTCACAGTGTGGGCGGTAGGAGTTGCAGTTGGCATCAAGCTCAGGAGATGAGGCATGAGGGCAACCATAGCCCCCTTCCCTTCCTCCACTTTCAGGGTGATGGGACTCATAAGACATCTTAGACTCAGCTGGGGAGGGCTGCAGATCCAGGTAGAAGGCGCCAGGGTCTGAGTGGCTGCAGAAGGAAGAGTCGCTGCAGGACTGTGGGGCAGAGTTGAGATTGGCACGGGGAGTGCCATGCATCTTGTTGTAGAGGGTGCTGAAGGTGACCAGCACACCATCTGAACTGTTGCAGGAAGAGTCGCTCACGTAGCCCATGGACTGGTCAGCTGCCTCGGACTGACTGGATGTGCTACTGCAGCGGCAGTGCTGGGCCCCTGAGCCAGAGCATCCAGGGTTCCTTGGGGATTCATCTGAACTAAGCTTCCATTCCTGGTCAAAGGAAAAGCCAGAGGTATCACTGGCTCCACCCCCGCTGCCACTCCCACCAGGTCCCCCACACTCATCCAGCTCCATAGTGTCTGCTTCCAGCTCTGGCCGGCAGCAGTGGCTGGCGCTGCACTGCTGGGTATCCAAGGTCGTCACTGGCTCCTGTTCCTGCCCTTCCACCACTCCAGCCCGACTGCGTGTTGCCCCCCATGGCCTGCCCACTCTGGGGCCAGATGGTGGCAGCTGGAAAGAGGATAGATGAAAGGTGGGCTGGCCAGTGCCATGCAGGTGGAAGGACTGCTGGGTGGCACTGTCACCAATGCTGTCATCATACAGGTCACCAAGTCCTGGCTCACCCACACCCTCCTGCAGCAAGAAGGGGTTGTGTCGTTTGGGGGCTCCAGGGCCTCTTCCATCCCGACTCCTACTCTTGGTGCTGTCTATAGACCGTGCAGTTCCTCCTGGAGCAGAGTGCAGGCTGCTGAACAGCAGAGAGTCAGCTTGTCCTAGGTCTTGATCAGGCTGGGTGATGCCCAGCTCAGGTGGGCAGAAGGGATTAGGTCTTGTGCTCCCACTACCTCCACCTGCTCCTCCACAGCACTGCCTGTCTGGGACCTGGCAGTGCACCAGGGGGATGTGATGAACGATGAGGGTCTCTCCAGTCAGCTTTGGGGGACTATCCATTCTGGAAAGTTCGAATAAGGGCTTCAACAGCACCAGACACTGTCCCTGGAGCCCAGTGGGGCAGAACACATTTCATCAGGAGAGCTTGGCACCTGGAGAGAGAGGGAAAGAAAGGGAACCTAATGTCACCTCCCTGGAAGTCAGGGGCATGCCCTTCCCTACAGCATTTTCAGATGGAGAAGAGCCCAGGAAGAGAAAAGGCTTGAGTCAAGATGGAGCTTGACCACACAGCCCAATAGGTGGGTGGGGACCTAACCATGCTTTCTGCATTGCACAGGTGCAGCACCTGAGGTCCCCCTTAATTTTAAGGTCACCATGCATCAAATTATGACAAAAGGCCAAGTCCTTCTAATGCCACATATGAAGGTTTGGGCAGTACTTTCCCCTTCTCTTTCAAGGACTATGTCCTTGGCAGTAACCAATGACTAGTCCTTAGCACAAAAAAACTATGAATAATGACACAATTAAGAAAAAAACATCTAGGACATCTAAGGCTTAGACACAGCTACAGCACACAAGTTTACAGACAAGGGAAAATCATGAATAATATGAACTCATAGCAATAAGCTGTAATTTTGCAAGAAGCATATTTTAAAATATACGGTATGATCTGACCAAGTGACTGTTATCTCTGATCCCCTTTCTCATCCTATTAGCCCCAGAATATTTGTCCCTCTCTGATGACCGTGGGCTAAGTATCCTTACTATCCTCACTGCTGTACTAGAACTTCTTGAATGCAGAGACTGAGTTGGGCATTAGGGTGACTGCAAGTTATGACTGATGTCAACCTCTTCCTCCTCAATGGGGGTGGGGGGACCTAGTTTTATGTCTTTTGTATCATTCTAACACATCATAAGATAAACGTGAAAGGCGTAATACACTCTTAACATGTGTCTAGCTCAGGATAGACATCCTGAAGTGCCCAAATGCTGCCCAGTTTTAGCTTAGAACCTTCACTAATGGGATCCACTGGAAAGTCTTCTCATCCCAGTTTTACCTCTTATAGGCTAAAGCAAAGTTCTCTCTTGTTCAAGGTCTCCTGGTGCCAAGGACACAGAACCCATCCTGAGCTTCTCTGGTCTCTTGGCTGCACCATGGCAGTGTGGCCTGCTCAAGTTCTAGTCTGCTGTGTTTCCACGTTCAGGTTGCAACAGTCTTCATTCCCTTTGACTCCTCACATGTAATGTTCCAAATTCATTCATTTCCCTTCTTTTTTTATTCCTATTATTTCCTTTTCACTCACCCTGAGTCTAAATCCCCCATTGCCTTTCTCTTCATCATTTAACTGAATCCTTGACACCATCAATCTCTTAAAATTTAACTCATTTAGACCACAGGGTCCCAGCTCATCATGTGGAATGTGGTAAGGGCTGAGGCAAGTCACATATACTCAAGGACATGAACAAACAATGCATAAAAAATATGGCTAAGTATATGTATGAGGGACAAGGTATTAATATACAATTGTGTTAAATTTAAGCAGCAATTATTATTTACAATCTTGCTTCCTCCCCCCCTTTCTGAGAGGAAGGCAGGCTCCTCTGTTGAGCTTCCAAGCCTTTGTGTGTTTATTGGGCTAATGGGTAGAGATGTAGAAGGGCAGACATTAAGAGAGTCTGAGCTACAAGATTAAGGGTTATAGAAGAAAACATAGGAGTAAATCTTTGTTATCTTGGATTAGGTGATGGTTTCTTAGATATGACACCAAAGGCACAAGTGACAAAAGAACATAAATTGGACTCGGTAAGAACCAAAACCTTTTGTGCTTCAAAGGATACCACCAAGAAAGTGAAAAGACAATCCATAAAATGGGAGAAAATATTTGCAACTCATATACCTGATAAAAGACTTCTAATCAGAATATATAAAGAACTCTTACAACTCAACAATAAAAAGACATTTGAAGCTGGGCACGGTGGCTCATGCCCGTAATCCTAACGCTTTGGGAGGAGGCGGGAGGATCACGAGGTCAGGAGATCGAGACTACCCTGACTGACATAGTGAAATCCCGTCTTTACTAAAAATATAAAAATTAGCTGGGTGTGGTAGTGCATGCCTGTAATCCCAGCTACTTGGGAGGCTGAGGCAGGATAATCGCTTGAACCAGAGAGTCGGAGGTTGCAGTGAGCTGAGATCATGCCACAGCGCTCCAACCTGGCGAGAGAGTGAGACTCTGTCTCAAAAAGAAAAGAAGACATATGATCCAGTTTAAAACAGGGCAAACAGTATGAATAGGCATTTCTCTGAAGAAGACATACAAGTGGCTAACCAGCACATGAAAAGATGTTCAACATCATTAGTCATTAGAGTAATAAAAATTGCAACGAGATACTACTTCTCTCCATCTGGGATGGGTAAAATAAGAAATACAGACAATAACTAGCAAATGATGATGATATGAAGAAACGGGAACCCTGAAACATTGCCGGGGGTATTGTAAAATGGTGCAGTTACTTTGGAAAAGTCTGACAGTTTCTCAAAATGTTAAACATAGTGTCATGACATGACCCAGCAACTGCACTCCTGGGTATATACCCAAGAAAAATGAAAACATATGTTCACACTAAAGCTTGTACACAAATGTTCATAACAGCATTATTCACAGTAGCCAAAAATTTAGGCACAATCGAAGCCAGTCACAAAGGGCTTTTATGATGTATGATTCCATTTATATGAAATGTCCAGAATAGGCAAATCCATAGAAATAGAATGTCTTGAAATCAGGCCAAGCACAGTGGCTCATGCTTGTAATCCCAGCACTTTGGGAGGCTGAGGCGGGTGGATCACTTGAGGTCAAGAGTTCAAGACCAGCCTGGCCAACATGGTGAAACCCCATCTCTACTAAAAATACAAAAATTAGCCGGGTGTTTGTCACCATTTTTGTAAATAAACATGTCTGTACGCATAGAAGAAAATCTGTAATGTGCAACAAACTGTTACTAGTGCCTATCTCTGTTGAGTGATTTGGATTTTTAATTTTATTCTTTTTGCTTCAGCTGTATTTTCTAATTTGTACATAATACCCATTTTTTGCAATTTTTAAGCAATTTTAAAAATTTAAGCAAATTTTTTTTTTTTTTTGAGACAGGTTCTCACTCCCAGGCTGGAGTGCAGTGGTGCGATCATGGCTCACTGCAGCCTCACGGTAGCCTCAGCCTCCTGAGTAGCTAGGACCACAGGCGTGTGCCACCACACCTGGCTAATTTTTGTGTTTTTTGTAGAGATATGGTTTCTCCATGTTGCCAAGGCTGGTCTTGAACTCTTGGGCTCAAGTGATCCACCTGCCTTGGCCTTCCAAAGTGCTAGGATTACAGGTGTGAGCCACCAGGCCGGGCCTGAACAATTTTTTTTTCTTTGAGGGGGTTTCTCCTTTCATACATACTAGGTTTCCCCTGGAGTCCTGGCCATAATCTCGAAGCCTGGACTAAAAGGAGTATAGAGAACTTTCTTACGTACATAGCAGTAATTTTAGGGGTACTTATGGGTTGCAGCCATCACTGACCTTCAATGAGTACCTTTTCTTCCTTTTTAAAGCATTTTCAAGAGGCATTCACAAGTATCACATAAAAGAATGTATGATTCTGCCCACAAAACCATTACTAGGACATACATGCATTAATATGGAAAACCTGATGCACAGATACAGAATGCAGAAAGCTGACTCTAAATCAGAGACAAAGGACACATGAGCATGGGAGATGACGGAGCCCTTGGCTGGAGGGCACTAACAGTTGTAATGTGATGTTGACATATCTATCTCCCAGACTGGAGCACAGTTCCGAGGCTGGAGACTGCAATACAGTGAACTCTGTGCTTGAACACAGTAGGTGCCTGGTTATTTGTTGACTACTTCTCCCATTAAAAGAACCTGAGTTGTTAGTCTTTTTATGATTGAATTATAGGAGTTTTAACATTCTGGATACAAGTCCTCTGTCAAATAATATGTCTCATGAACATTTTCTCTCAGCCTGTGGCTTGTCTGTTTTCTTAACTGTGTTTTTTGATAGTTTTTAATTTATTAAATTTAAATTGATCAATTTATCAGTTTGTTTCTCTATGGTTAAATCTTTCTGTATCCTAAGAAATCTTTACCTGTCCTAAGATCATAAAGAAACGTACCTATGGTTTTCTTCTAAAAGCTGTATAGTTTTAGCTTTTACATTTAGGTTGTATTGAATCCTACTTTAACTGTCAAGCTCTTTCACTGACTGATTTCATTTTATTTTATACTTCTGTATCTCAGAGAAGATCTTATTCCTTTTTGATCTCCACACAACCAAGGGAAATGCCCAGCAATGGCTCCTCCATAGACGATTCCAATTCAGCCATCTAAGGGGAAGTTCTCCAGGCATCTCATGAGATTTTGTACTCATGCTTTGCCCACCAGGTTCACATTTACTTACAAGGCACTTTTTATGTATGTCATATCTTACTGATCCTTACATAAACTTACCAAAGGAGGCGGAGCCATCTTCATTTTCAAAAATAAGGAAATTTACACTCAGAAAAATGAAATGACTTGCCCAAGACCACTCAGTGAATAAATAACAGAATTAAGATGAGACTCAGGAATCCTAACTTTTGACCTTTTTTCTTGATCAGTTAAGAATATAATGAGAGTAGACCCAGTATGGGGGCTCACGCCTGTAATCCCAGCACTTTGGGAGGCCAAGGCAGGCAGACCATGAGGTCAAGAGATTGACAACATCCTGGCCAACATGGTGAAACCCCGTCTCTACTACAAATACAAAAATTAGCTGGGTATGGTGGCATGCTCCTGTAATCCCAGCTACTTGGGAGGCTGAGGCAGGAGAATCACTTGAACCCAAGAGGCGGAGTTTGCAGTGAGCTGAGATCGTGCCACTGCACTCCAGCCTGGGTGACAGAGCGAGACTCCGTCTTAAAAAAAAAAAAGAGAGTAAACTGTACATATGACACCACAGAGAACATTTACTGAGAGTGTATCTCAGGCTTCTTTCCTGGGAGTGACTTTTTCTACATCAAGACAAGTGGCCCATCCCCTCTAATGAAGGTGAAGAGAAAACACTGAGCTGGAAGAGCTCATTTCAGACTTTTTCTGCCCTGACTAAA